AATTCTGTACTCACTTTAATTTTTATTCTTATGTTTTTATTCTAACAATTGTGCTTTACTTATATATTTGTCTGTCTAAATTCAGAGACTGAATATATTTACTTCTTGACCAGTAGAGTTAATACATTTAGAACTTTAATAATTCAGAACAAGTCAAATTACAAAACTAGAAGATATAGCAGATCATCAATTCACAACCATCTTTACCTTGGTTCATTTTTACATAAGTTCTTGAATTATTTTTAATGGTTCTTTAGGAGTTCATTAGCTACATCTAGATCTCATGTATAATTTTTACAGTGAATTGAAGTTATACCAAATAATAACTTATTACCTTATTTTCTTCCAATTTTCTAAAGCAGCTTTGTTCTCCATGGTCATTTCAAAATAGCTACCCATAATGCATAAATTATCTTCATTCTTTAACCCTTCAACTAGCTGATTTGCACACAAATACAATAATGTAAAGTACCACTGTAAGAAAAAAAGGTTTAAGAGAGTTAAGTAGTTGCTGTCAGCTGAAAGTAGATGCAAACATATTTTTAAGTAATCTTTAACACTTAACACCAGCATCAAGAGGCAGTATAAAATCAACAGTTCAACATAAAGTAGTCTGCATTAAGAGTTAAGATATGAGTTCCAGCTTGTCTCAGATGTCTGCTACTCCTATGACTATGTATAAGGCATTCAGCTTTTCTAAAACTCAGCAATGTTTAATGGAAATCATATAATTAGAAACTATTAGCTAGGCCCAGTGGCTTATGCTTTGGGAAGCCAAGGTGGGAGAATTGCCTGAGGCCAGGAGTTTGATACCAGCTTGAGCAACAGAGGGAGACTTTGTCTCTACAAAAAAAAGAAAAAAAAAAATATATATATATACACATATATATAGAGAGAGAGAGAGAGAGAAATAAGCTGTGCAGTGCTTGTAGTCCAAGCTACATGGGAGGCTGAAGCAGTAAGATTACTTGAGCCCAGTAGTTTGAGTTTGCAGTGAGTTATGATCAAATTGTGCTCTAGTCCAGACTACAGAGAAAGATAGTATCACTAAAAACAAAACTAAATCTCTCTCTCCCACCTACCCACTCCCTGACACATGAACACAAAGCCATAGTTTAACAACAAGTAGCAAAATTTCGAAAGTTAGGTTCTAACTGAAACTATTCCAGTCCAATTTAACAACTATTTTTGAGTGTCCCCAGTGTCTTTGGGAATGGGAGGATATCTCAGGCAGGGAAAGAGCTCAAGAAGGCTAGGAGATAGAAAAGACTTTGCATATGTGAGGCACAAAAATCATTAGTACAAAATGTGGCAAGAGGAAGGTGGCAGTGGTAGTAGTTGCGGTCCAGGAAGATGCCAGAGGTTAACTAGGAACAAAATTATGCTGGGTTTTCTAGGCCAGAATACCAACTTGAACTTCATCTTAAGAACAGTGACGAGTCATTAAGAGTCTAAGCAATGATGTGGCATGATTCATTTTCCTTTTTTGAGAACTCATTCAGGCTGCAGTGCACAGAATAGACAGCAAGTATGCAAGACTGGAAACAGGCAAACCAGCTAAGAGACAGCTTTGTTAAGCTGCAATGATGGAGGCCTGAATTGAAAGGCAGTACAATTAAGAGTAGGGTGTCTGAAGTCATTTGCCAGTATTCAAATCCCAGATTTTCCACTTATCAAATGTACAAGTTGCTTACTGCTATGGTTTGAATGTGTCCCCCCAAAAATCCTGTTGGAAACTTAATCCCGAGTGCAATGGAGTTGGGAAGTGGAGGCCTAATGGGAGAAGTTTAGATCATGAGGGTTGGATTAGTGCCAATTATAACAGAGCTTGAGGCTGTAAATGGAATCTCTTGTTCACTCTTCTCCTCTCTTGCCCTTCTGCCTTCTGCCCCAGGATGAGGATAAGGTAGCACAAAGGCCCTCATCTCACCAGATGTTGGCACTATGCTCTTGGACTTTTCAGCATCTAGAACTATGAGCCAAATAAGCTTCTGTTCATTACAAACTACCCGGTCTATAGTATTTTGTTAAAGTAGTCTAAAATGAACTAAGACACTCTCTTTTCATCTCAGCTTTCTCTATACTTCAGATAAAAACCTTTACAGGTTTCTTACCAAAGAATAAGATATTAAATATAACGCAGTTAGCATGGCATCTAACAAAGAATAAGAATGCAAATGTTTAGTATTATTAACGCAATGATTGGGATTGAGAAACGATAATATAACTGGAAAATGTTTAGCAGACAGGAATTGACAATTTGGATATCAGGAAAAGGGATGAATTTACACACTCTAGTTTCTGACTTGGATAAGATGAGAAAGATACAAGGTTTGCAGGCTCTGAAGATTTGAAGAAAAAGATAGTATTCATTCTGGAAGAAACTGACTGTGAGATGTGCCAGTAGATGAGTGAATATGTAGCTCTAAAGTGAAGGAAACAGATCTAGGCTGGCTTTGAGATTCATAGAGATAGATGGCAATTAAGTTCATGGGTACTGGCTTGGTGCCTGTGGCTCAAGTGGCTAAGGCACTAGCCACGTACACCCAAGGTGGCGGGTTCGAATCCAGCCCAGGCCCGCCAAACAACAATGATGCCTGCAACCAAAAAATAGCCAGGCATTGTGGCGCACGCCTGTGGTCCCAGCTACTTGGGAGGCTGAAGCAGGAGACTCGCTTGAGCCCAGGAGTTGGAGGTTGCTGTGAGCTGTGATGCCACGGCACTCTACCCAGGGGGGACAGCTTGAGGCTCTGTCTCAAAAAAAAGAAAAAAAGTTCATGGGTACTGATGAGAGTTCCTAGAGAAAATGTATGCAGAGTAAAGAAATGATGACATTAGGCAGAACATGAGGAACACCAGTATTTAAAGGATGGGCAAAGGAAGAGAAAGCTGCAAAGGGCACTGAGACCAAGAGGCCAGAGAAGTAACAGAATAATAGCATGAAAAGTCAAAAGCCATAAAAGAAAAAAAAAGTGTTTCAAAGAAGACAGAGTACTCAACAATGTAAAGACTGACAAGCAGTGAAACAAGAACTTAGTTTTCACTATATTTAGCAATAATGTTATTTATTCACATAATAAATATGTATCAAGCATTGTGGTGGGCCCACGAGATACAGATGTGATGAGAAAAATAAGATACTTATACATATAGACTTTATGTTCTGAAGATAGACAGTAAACAAACAAAATACCTGCAAATTGTGTTAACAACTGTGAGTACAGATAGGCATGATATTGAAAGCACAAGGCAGAGGCCAGCTTTAGACAGAGTTCTGGAGGGCAGCTCTCTGAGGAGGGAAAATTTAACCCAAAACCAAAGGCAAGAAAGGGCTTAGAGAATTGGTCAGAAAACTGAACAGAGGAATATATGGTTACAGCACAACAATGGAGGAGTGATGGAAAGAGAGACACTAGATTATATTTGTAGATCATGCTTAGGATACAGTGAGAAGAGTTTAGACAATGACTTGTTAAACATTTGAAAGTAAAGTAGTTCAGATGACTCTAGCTAAGTACTTAATAGTTTGGTGTTTCTCATTTATACTAGACTTAATTATCAGAAATGCAAAATTTTACTACTACATTAATTTTTTATGATAGTATCAGAATACATTTTTCTATTTTAAAAAATATTAGTATAACAGGTGACATGCTTGTAATCATTGAACATTCTTCCAAATTTCTTTCAAAGAAATTTCTCAAATCTGCTTGATTCTATCATTAAATTATATTCCTTTAACGATAAGGTACTCATTTTCCAACAATGTATATCAGAATTTGTATGTTTTATAGTAAGACTCTAAGGCATTAACTAAAATGTCTGTGGGCCAATAACACACATAAAAAACTGATTAAATTCATTTTCCTAAAAAAATTATATTTCATAGTCTTGGTTTCCTGTTTTCTATATATAAATATATACACACACATATATATACAGGAAGACACATGATAAAGTATGTGTGTGTGTGTGTGTGTGTGTATATATATATGTATATACTATACACATGATAAAGAAAAGTTGATGAGGAAAACTTGGCTTGATTCTGAACCCCTTAATTATATGTTCATATTATGTTTTAATTTCCTTATCAGCAAGTGGAAGAATTTATGGCCCACTTTCACAAAGATGTCTATAATAACAAATGCTACCATTTACTTAGTATCTATTAAGTGAACTAGGCACATTACACAAATTATCCTTGAAAAACAGGCATTCTGCTTCCCATTTTATAGATGAGAAAACCAACTCAGAGAGTTTAGGTGATTTGCTCACCTGCAGACCTAGAACCTAAGTCCAATGCTGCATGTTGAACTCTGGTCACTACCCCAAGATGCCTGAAACTATAAATAGACTAGTTCGTTAAAATATCTATCATGTATAAGATACTAAATTACAAAAATAAATTCTTAAATGCTAACAAATACTTCCTTTAATTTTTAATAAAGTATGCATAATGTTGAAACATTATCCAGACAGGTATACTCCTTCCTTTGGTATAATAACTTGATTGTAATTTTTTTCAAAATTGAGGAAAAAAGATAAAAGGAAACTATAAAAGAGAATCATATTGTATTTAAGGCCCAAGAATTACCATTCTGGGTCAAAATTTTTTCCCAGTTATTCCTTAGTATAAATATTAAATCCAATGAACTACTGGAAACTGCCTATCCTTGCAAAACTCCTTTGTTTCTGAAAGTTAAAAATTACAAATTGACCTAAGATGTTCCTGAATCAAAAAACCTAACCTCTGATAGGAACCTCCATATGTCACTATTTCTCAGGACATGAGAGGCAACAAGTCTGATAAAGCATTATAATTTGCTCTTAGCAGAATCTACAGATTTATTGTATTGTGAGTTCTTTTTACTATGATTTATCAGGTAGCCAAGTAATCCACCAAGATACTGTTTGAAGAAGACTAGATATTTAACAAAAAGAAACTGCTGCCAGATTATCTTTATTTTCCTTAACAAAATACACACAAAAGCACAAAATTCACTTATATATCATCATTTTACAAGTATAAATAATGCTCAGAATTCAAGTACAGTCTAGTGCAGAGATATTTCCTATATTTTACTATGTAAACATAAACTAATTATATACATCATGTGCCTTTGGCCCAGCTGCAAAATAAAAGATATCAAAAAGGAATACTGCACTTGACTGTTAAATTGCATTCTTATTGAGAATTCATACCAATGCCTATGTAGTTGCAGTTACAACTTTCATACCACTTAGTTTAATGTAAACACCTAAATAGACATTTCCCCCCCCCCAGCAAATATCTTAAGAGTTAAAATTCTATCCAATTTTAATAATGAAGTATTCAAAATCTTAATTGTTTCATTCCTTAAAACAAACACTATTAGAGAACTGATTCCTAACCAAAGTTCTTCCTATGTCAAAATGAGTATTTACATGTTATACATATAGAAAACAAGAAAGTCATGTTTGTTCATATTTAGAATAGACAAAAAATATCTAAAAGCTGTCTAAATAGTGTGAGTCTTTGCACATTCAAAAGGATCTTACTTCACTGATACCACTTGCTTTTAATTTTAATACCCAGTAGATAAAACTTTAACATGTTCAAATAGCTAGGAAACTTGAATTCAAATGATACCAAGCATATCCTTAGAGGGCCCAAGGCGGGGGGGCGGGGGGGGGGAAGTGTACCGCATAAAAAGCAATAACTGAATAACTGACATCAACAAGACTATAAATATCCAGTTGAAGGCACATGGAAGCATTTACTACTTTGCCATCAAAGATTCTCCACTTAGTTCAGGATTAGGAATAGAGTCATCTCTGGAAACTGTTGATTTGGCTTCATTCATTGAGGTTTCCTCATTCTCAGTCTCTTCTTGTTTCTCTTCTGGTTCCTCTGAGCCAGATGCTTTTTCAATCACTTCATTTGTCTGCTCTGTGGCTGATGTTTTGTCATCTGTCTGCTCTGTATCATTGTCAAGAACATCTTGTTCTTCTAAAGATTCTAAAAAGATAAAGATTCAAGAGTTTAAGAATACTTAAATAATAAGACTGCTAAATAATGCAAGTAAAAGATAAACATACACAGATTGCAAAACAGCATTGACTAACATTATCCTTAAAATTTTTAAAAATAAGTACCTAATTCCTTATAACATACCATTTATAAGTTGATATGAAGGAAAAAATTGGAGTAAAAACATAGGTTTATCTAATGTGCTATACTTTATATAAAATAGCTCCTAAAAACACATTTGAAAGAGTTGAATGATGAAAAGTCAAACTCCTAATAGAATTATTTGCTATAAAACAGTCCAACATAAAAACCGAATGCATTAACTCCCAGCTTATGTTTTCTAAAGGAGCTGCTTCCCTTGTGTCCTGGACACCCTGTGAGCAATGTGTAAATATATACTTTTGTGTGTGCACACATAGACGGTGGTCTCTCATACTGATGTACATCTCCATTACCCAAGACCTGGGGGAGTCAGAATCTACCTTTTACAAAAGCATTAAGTCTCCCCTCATCTCTCTGTAAGGCAAGTTTTGTGTATTTAACATCTGGATTAGAATATGATACATATCTAGCAAACTATGGAAAGAAAGGGAAGGGTCATTTCCCCCCATCTTCATAGAAGAAGTTAAGCAAGGTTCTTGGCACTATCTGAAAATTGATTCCCTTTATACTCTCTTTTATTAAATTCAAATCCCTTGGTAATAATGTAGTAACAACTTCATTAAATAAACTATCCTTAATTCTTTTAAATTTAAAGAACATAATGGGGAAGGGAATGGCAAAAACAGACAAATTTCCACCCAATTTCCAAGTCAAAGACAAAAATCTAGCTTTCAGGTATTTCTTTGTTTTGTTTTTGTAATAAACAGCAATTAGTATTCTTTCCAAGAAAAATATGGCTAACCCATGCCATCTACGCAAAAAAGCAGATTTTCCTACTCTCATAAAAGGTCCTTTATATTACAAATGTTACTAATTCAAAAAATCTAGAGCAGCGGTTCTCAACCTGTGGGTCACAACCCATGGGAATTGTATTAAAGGGCTGCAGCATTAGGAAGGCTGAGAACCACTGATCTAGAGGGAAAGCCAGCCTACTTAGTAAAAAGTTCTAGTTAAGCTCCTTGTGCAATACTGGCCAGAGTTTTGCTACATAAATTAGTAAAATTAATTAACAGCTTTGTAAAGAAATTATGTGTTGGCTTCACCAGCTTTAATAAATACAAATTATCTATAACTCACACACTCTATGTCAAGACTTTAAAACTATATAAAGAGAATTATTTCCTTAAATGGATACTTTGGACTCTAGCTTACAGGATTAATTATAACCACCTTTCTTCTTTTCATATGTAGAATGGCCCAAATTCCACACTTAGGGACATCCAATTTAATGAGGTTTCTATGAAAATTTCATAGAACTACAAATAGTGAGGAATATTTATACTCATTTTTGTGCCAAATTTCATAAAAAACCCTATTTGTATCTTAATAAGGAACTTAAAATGGCATTGCTGCACAACTTGGAATCTTATAAAAATCCAAGGTAGAAAAGCAGTACGTCACTCAAGTTTTGTTATTTGAATGTTCCGGAGCAGAAAGGGCAAATAAAACTATGAACATGCACAAATCATTTCTGCTACAAGAGCAAGCAAGTTCTTCCATGGAAAACTTCAGGAGTCACCAACCATTTGTAATTCTACCCTCACAGAATTTATCCAGGGTAGAATTTCAAGAGTCATGGTTTTCCACAACTCTCTGGCCATACAGCAATATTTACTTGGCAAGGATTTTATAATTTGTGATAGTTAACTAAGCCTTCTGAAGCTTACTGAACCAAGCCACACAAAATAGAAAAACAAAAAGCTCAGAATCCAGAATTCAACTCAAAAATAAACATGTTTAACTGAACAGAAGCCCACATACTGACTGCCTCAATACTGTACAGAAACAGGATAAGTATCAAAGTCCAGGGCTTATCATATTAAAGCTTTATCATGTTACTATTTTCAAAAATAGATCCTTTACTACTAAAGCCAATTTAATTTAAAAATTCTGGGGTCTAAAGAAGCAATTAATACAAAAAAGTGAACTATAATACTGGAATTTTTAAATAGCTGTAATTTAACAATTCAAAGAAATACCATGTACTATCATAATTAGAAAACAAAGTACACAAAGTTATCTAGTAAATATTGTACAATATTTCAGAGAATATATGGGAGACTAAAAATTTGGTGAAATATTCAGTGGGGTTTGAAAATAATCAAATAGTCTATTAATGACTATTTTCCCCCCGGATTAACTTATAGAAAAGCAATTTTAATAGCAGTAGCAGTACAAAAAACAAAAACTATGTGACACGACGCCTATAATGAAGACCTCAGCTAGTCAAATAAGATAGGTACTTGATGTTTGGATGCCAATGTCATTTTGAGAGAAGTCATCAAGTAAGATCTAAATAACCAAGTGTAAAAGATAAACAGAGAATTACATGTCAATTTAATAACTAAACCTCGGAGCTTCATAAGATTAATGTATTCTAAAAGTATTTATTTTATTCTATGGGAGAGTATCATTTGCCTATTCTAACAGAAATAGTACATTTTTTTGGTGAAGTTGCTGCTTAAAATAGTTTGGCAGCATAAAATACATTTAGGAAGATGTTACTATTTGAGGATGAGATATTACAGAAGAAACTAGGCTTTGTGTTCACTCAAATTAAACAGGCCTGTTCTTCCCTGTATTGCCCAGTTTAAGACTAAAATATGAACAATTACCTGAATGATCTAATTCCATCTTTAAAGAAAATCTTAAAATCAATGTTGGCATCTATAATGCCAAGAGAACAATATACCACAATGTAGTAAAACAAAAACGAGCCATGGAATTTATTTTTTTCCTACTCCTGCCACATGCCCCACCCCTACCCCAATATTCTTGAGAGAAGTTTTTCCTCCCATGGCCTTTAGTTGTCTGGGTGAAGCCTCAACTCAGAAAACTCAAACTCATGAAACTGAGTGCAATTATAGAATGAATACCACTGCTTTACCTTATAAACCACACACATGCAAAAACATGTAAGAATATCACCATCTTACCTTTGGGTTTTTATTCTAGCTCTTAAGAAAAGAATTTTATAAAAAAAAATTAAGTAAATAATAGTCTAGAAAAATAACTATATATTTTTAATAACCATATAATATGTGCCTTGCTAACACATCAAAATTTTGCCTTGCTAACATCTCACTGCTTACTAGACATGTAGACTATAAATTTACTCAAAGGAGCTTTATTAAACTATAATTGGCAACTTGTCTTTGAATGCACAAATTTTAAATAAGGCAATTTCTACAAGATTTTCCTGCCTCAAAGAAAAGTGACAACTTATTACAAAACAAAGGCATGAATTTCATCCCAATTCAATCCAATGACTCGGTGAATAAAATTCAATTAAATTATAACCACCCCTGAGACAATAGCTAGTATTCTATACACAGGATACCATTTCATTATTTACAATGGTGAACAAATCAACTAGACAAGTTACGAGTTTCATTATTAAGCAATGATCCAACTATTTAGGTGAAGATGTTTTAGAAAAGGGAGTCAGAAAGCCAAAAGATCTCTATCTAAAACAAACATGCAAAAACATCCTACAAGCAAGTTTACTTCTTGAGTAGGCTGTACATTAAATATAATGTTATTTATTTAAAAGTATAAGCTTTTCAGATGTGGCACATACATGGAATTCAACAAATTTTACATTATCAAATAGCTTGATTTCCTAGACCATCATAACAAAAATACTAAAATTTAAAATTTAAATAATAGAATTTTCCCTAGTTCTATACCTAATAGTAACAGTATTTTGTGTAAAAGAAAGGAGGGACAGAAAATAGATTATCAAGATAAATTTCAACTAACATAACTTTTACTTCCTATTATGATGGTATTGATTAGATGCCATGAGTTTTATTATTAGAAAGTTACTTCCAGTTGGATAAAAACTATTTTATACTAAAATACTTATACAAGACTTAGACAAACACAACTGAACAATGAAAACACAATACTAACATTTTTTAAATATAATAGCCAAAAAATCACTGCACTAAGTACATGTATACTAACAATGTAGCAATCAAGTACTCTAATGGTTATTACATACGACAAAAAGAATGTTATATACCAGGTATTTTAGAAAGTACATTTTGTTTTAAAAAAGGAAAACTGACAAACTACGTAACTTAGCAGAGAATCAAGTATTATTGTACTTTAATCATAAAACAAACCGAGGAACCTGAAAGCAGTTCATTTCTTAGCATAACACATCTAGTATGTTCTTAGGTAAAAAGACAAGCCATATCCTTAATTTGTGTTCCACTAATAATCTATTACCAAAGCATCTGGATACAAAGTTATAGAAAAAAATGGTTGCTTCAGATTTTAACACGATGGAGTTATCAGACCTTGCCTCAAATTTTGGCTGAGTTTCAGCCAGTTAAAATTTCATTCCAGAGATTGCAGAAAGAAAAGGAACTAAAGGAGCAATTAATGGGAAAAATTTCTTCTAGGTACCCCTCTTTGATAAACACTTTCTAAGATTCCATATGTTTTTACAAAGAGTGGTACGGAAATCATAAAAGCCTTGTCCACCATCCTAGATGCAAAATCTTCCAATATCAGAATCCAGACAAAACTTAATTTCAAGTCTTACATCATGGTTTTTTTTTAAAAAAAAGTTTCTTCCATTAATTCTAGCTTATTCATATAAATGGTTGCTGATGTTCACTGAAAGAAAAGTTCAGCTAGAAGAAAGTTACCTTTTGGCTCCATCTGTAAATTCAATAAGCATTCAGTAAATTCTACAGTTGCTGCTGCTACCAGGGAACTATTTTAAATATTTTTAATGATACATAGATTAAAACAGTAAAGTTTTTTTTCAGACCTCAAGTTTCTACATCATTGAATAATTTAGAAATCAGAACTCTAAACCCAATTATATCGGCTGTTAGCACAGAGTAGATAATTGAGATGATATGGTCTTACTTAAAAGTTCATTTTAAGCAAAAGAGTATGCCACATGTGGTCAAAACAATCGCAGCTTCCTCTGTTCATCAGAAATACTTCCAGTAATTTACTAAAGGAGTCCACCTTGAAATCCGTAACTGTGTGTCATAGTGTTGAGACAGGAATCTTGAGAAAAATTTCAGTTTCAGTCTTCTGGAAAGCCAAAGAAGAAAAAGATGCTCATTGCCACTTTGGTGAATCCAAAGAGAAGTATGAAATTTACTACTCTAGAAACTATCTTAACCAAATGGAATGGCTGCTTCAGTTTTTAAAACTATGTAGTTATCAGATCCTGCCTTGAGTTTTGTCTTCACCTATTAACATTACCTTATTGGGATTGAATTTGAGCCAGTTAGACTTCATTCCGGAGATTTCAGACAGAAAATGAGACATCTGGGGTATTGCTCCTCCTAGATTAGATGAGAAGGAAAGGTATAGCTGGGTGTTGTTTGCTAACTATCTTCTTTGTAGAAGATACAAAGCATGGGATTCATTATCAAGATGTTAATTTTGTTGACTGTTCTTTCCTTTTCTTTTCTTTTTGTCCCAACTATTTGCTTTCATATATTCACTTTAGCTTAGTAAGCAAAATTACTCATACAAAGGGCTTCAATATTTCCTTTAGGCATCTTCAGTATGAAATTCTTTAATTTTCAGTTCCAAGAAGTTGCAATGGCAAGGCAGCTGGTTTGCATGCGACAGCATGTAGCTCAGAAAATGACTTAAGCAAAAGAAAAAAAAACCGTATTGAAGTTGATGTTGTAGACTTGGAGAAGATAAATATATTGATTTAGTGTTGGAATCAATACAGGCCTCTGTCATAGCTATTTATATTCAAATTCATTTTGATATTTGTTAGTAAGCCAAAAGCCAAGCCCATTTAACACACATATTTTAGGTTCACGCTTCAAAGTTAAAAAAAAAAACCAAATACTCAAATCTTACACCAAATTTCAGATTACCTGAAATTCACTGCCTGATATAATATCTTCAGTTAAAGCTATTTCTGAAATATTCAATGTCTTTATGAAGGAGAAATCAAATGTATATAAATGATAATTCCTAAAAATTAAAAGAATGAATACTGACTGGGAAATAAATTGTGCAAACTAAACTTTCTTTTTTTTTTTTTTTGTAGAGACAGTTTCACTGTATTGTCCTTGGTAGAGTGCCATGGTGTCACAAAGCTCATAGCAACCTCCAACTTCTGGGCTTAGGCGATTCTCTTGCCTCAGCCTCCCGAGTAGCTGGAACTACAGGTGACTGCCTCAACTCCCAGCTATTTTTTTGTTGCAGTTTGGCTGGGGCTTGGCTTGAACCCACCACCCTTGGTATATGGGGCTGGCGCCCTACCAACAGAGCCACAGGCACCTCCCCGAACTAAACTTTCACTATGCTTTTTTTACCATACCAGATATGACACCAGATTATCATGGACTATGTCATGATTTTAGCACTATCCATAATTCAGAGCTGATTAAGAAAGAGTTGATATTAATACTGCAGCAAGAAACAGTTGGCAATTAATAGTCAAATCTTCCATCTTATCTTTTCCATTTTTTCATGACACTTCCTCAAGAATTCCTAAAACAGAATCATTAGATGAATTCTAAAACCTAGTAAATTCTGATAAATTCTGTTTCTCTAAAATCATTACATCATTTGTTTCAATGGAATACCAGTTCTATTAACACAGTCATACAAAAAAAGGCAATGATGATGTTACAATTTCAAAGTTTCCTGTTTTCCGATAATTTCTGCCAATTCAAGTGACATAAAACTATTTTATCAATGTTCATCACAAATCTTATAAGGATTTTATCCTCTGAAAAGTTTTTTCATAATTCTAATAATCTGCTTCACCCAAATAAATTGAAAAAAATGATCCCATGAAAATATTGCTAATCAAATCTCCCAACAGTTTTTAGAAGTGAATATTCCTTAAACCAGGTATCCTCAAACTACGGCCCACAGGCCACATGCAGCCCACCTAGGACATTTATCCAGTTCACCGGGTGTTTTTGCCACTGCTGCCTGTCCTGCTTAGCAGCTGACTTGTCCCGGGGCCCGCAGTCTGGCCCTCCAATGGTCTGAGGGTCAGTGAACTGGCCCCCTGTTTAAAAAGTTTGAGGACTCCTGCCTTAAACAATGTTTACCTAGCTGGTGCTAGATGCTTATCACAATATAACTTGCATATTAAAACTGAAACACATCATACCAATCACACAGGAGGCAATAGTATCAGAACAATAGCTGATAAATACATGCTATAAAACCTGATAATTAATCCATTTTTACCTAAAAGCATTATGTTTTATTATTTTATTTATTTATTTATTTTGAGACAGAGTCTCACTATGTCACCCTTGGTAGAGTGCCATGGCATCACAACTCACAGCAACTCCAAACTCTTGGGCTCAAGCAATTCTCTTGCCTCAGCCACCCAAGTAACTGGGACTACAGGTGCCTGCCACAACATCTGGCTATTTTTTATTGCAGTTGTCATTGTTGTTTAGCTGACCCGGGTCAGGATCAAACCTGTCAGCACTGTAACCACTGTGGTATGCTTTATTCTTAAATGGCACATATTATTAAGAGACAAAACTGTTTAATTAAATATTCATACCTTCACTAAACTGGTTCTCTGATGAAAGCATATTTCCTGATGGCAAGGGACCAACTGAACTTGAGCCTTCCACTGTCTGCCTCTTCTCAAAACTAAACTCTGGAAGTCTTGGAGCTTGGGGTCTGGTTTTTCTTGCAGGATTCAAGAAAAAACAGTAGGCACATCGAAAAGCTGTAGAGAATTTTTTTAAAATAAGCAAAACCACAAACCACAGGAAGTTCAAGGACTAACCAGATAACTCACAATATTACTTTTGCGGATAATTCAAAGAACACTTTAAAAATTACTTATCTCTTATGAAATTCACATATTATTTTAATAATAATATGGTAGATATTCTAACCAAAGCTAATTTTAAAGCATGCTTTCTAATTATTATTATAATTAAGAGTCTAAATTTAAAGCAGATAAGGCAGAATAAAATACATAGCAAGTTAGCCATGTAATAAGTTATATTAGCAGGTTGAAAGCAAAACAATACTAATCATTTAAATGAATTAGTGAAATTGCATTTCTAATCACCTGAGTCACCTAGTACTTTAAAATTTGGAACCTTGCTCATTTGCCCAAGAAAATGTAGCATGTCATATTTCAGAAGCATAAAGTTACCATAGTAGTTTTTAATAATGGCTGCACATGAGAATCATCTGTGGAGCTTTAAAAAAAAAAATGCTGATGCCTGGACCACATCCAAGATCAATTAAAGCAGATTCTTTCCAGGGGTACTGGGTATCATAATTTTTTAAGCTCTTCAGGTGATGCATAGTGAGGTTGGAAAATTACTGGCCAAAAGGTTATACAATATATGCGGAAGAAACCTGAGCTATTTTCCCTGCTGTGCTCTGTGTAACCAATATAAAGACAATATCTAAAACAAAATGACATTACATGGGAAATGGCTAAAATATTTAAAGTAAAATATTTAAATATAACTGCCCAATAATTCTTACCAATGTATTCAAACTCTTCCTTCAAAGCCATGCCATTATGAGAAAAACACTGCTGACAAATAAGGGCATACCTAAGCCATAAAAAAAAAAAAAAATTAACAGACCGGTTACAGATACAGACAAAGCACGTGAGAATATTTGATTATTTTAGCCATCATGGCTAATTTATATTTTAAAATAGTTAAATATGCTGTAACAGATTTGATGTTACTTAGTAAATCCTAAACTCATATATTAAAGCAAAATTTCAACCATTTTAAAATATAATTTATATATTGAATTAAAAATTATTTAAATGAATATACCCTTCCTAAGTTAGCAGAAACAAAATTCAAAACACTTGAATTTTGGCATTTACCAAGGTATATTCCTAGGGATAAAATCCCCCAAATGGGTAGTTAGACAAGACTAGAAAAGATGGAACCTTTTTTGAGATTCACAGTAAGTATTATAAAAACTTGACTCTGAGAAATCTTGAAGTAATAATAATAATATATTTAATTTTATTTAGTTTATGCATGATTCCTGTACCTTTCCCAGTTATACTTAAACATCTTCCTTATTTTCTATTTATATACTTTTTCTGCTCCTTATGTACGTAGTCAACAAATATTGAGTCCATTAAACATTATTCAAATTTTGGATAGCATAATTTATTATATTAACATTATCTCTTTAGTAAAATGATATTAAGAAGTAAAGTTAAATATCTATTCTACTATTCTATTAACTTTTAAAAAGTCTATATGTGGGTCATACAAAAGTTTTAGATACACAAAAATCAAGAAACAAAATCTTTACAGATGAACAGAAACAAATGAAACCCTCTCAGTAACGGCAATAAGTCAAGCAACTTAAAACTTACACAGGTTAATCAGAAAGGACACTGTTGACTGTGTCTTGGAAGTGAAATAATGGGTCCATAACACAGTGTGTCTCAAAACTTTCTTAGTGACCTACTGACTTTGTCAATTGTTGTACACATATCATACCTATTTTCCTAAGTTACTGTAAGGATCAAATAAGGTAATAATTGGAAAGGCATTTTGATAATTGTTAAGTGCTAAATGCATACAAATCACTACCACTAAGTCCAATAATAATACCTATAAAACTCCATTTCTTACAACATACCAGATTTTCACTATTTTTGTGCCTTTAAGTTTAAAAGTTTCATTAAAGTTCAATTTCTCTAAAAATAATTTTACAGCAGAGTTAACATTTTTCCAAATGGATTCTATTTGGTCTACTTTGCCCAAATTCCTACTGTAAAACAATTGAATATGTACTCTTCTGCAAAGCTATAAAACTGTAGAACATCTAGTGTATGCACACACATGCACCCTGGCCGATAAATCTTTTTGTTTCCACTTATCTACCACCTTAGTAAACATTACCTGTTCTGTGGACCATCACCAACTAAATATTCAACAATTCTATCCAGAGCACCTCGTTCTCGGGGAAGAATGGGTCTTGCTAAAGGTGGACCTGGAGGATGAAGACCTATTAAATACATAAATACATATAAGATTTATATGTATAAAATGCATTATATATAATTTAAGTCAGTTACCAAGAACTACATATGCTTATTAAAACTCTTAAAAGTTCTAACAAAATAGTATTAATTCCTATAAACCTCTGTAGAACATTTAAGTTTTCATTAAAAATCCTGCACTACAATAATACATGCTGTATCAAAACCACCAACACAATCTATTAGTAAATGAAACTATATTTGGTTCTGTTAATGTCCAACTTTTAAAAGCTTATGTAAAATTAGAAGATTTCCATTTTGGACCAGAATAAGATATCAGAGGTCAGATTTACCTTCCCACCTAATGCAAATAAAAAACTGCAAAACATACAAAGTAACAGTTTTAAAGACACTGGATAACATAAAATGTAATTTTAAAAATACTGGATATCAGGCAATGTAGGTTAATGTTCCCTGAGAGACTTAAAACAAAGTATGTCCTACAACTTCCCCCAGCTTATTGCCTAGAAGAGTGTTTCCAGGCATCTGCACAAAAAGGGTAAACCCAGGTGAAGTGTGGCAGTCTCTCAGAGTAAAGGAGATAGAAATGTAACTCTAGGGAGGTCCAGGCAGCTCCAGTTCACAGGGAAGAATATGGAAGAGGAGAAAAGGCACAGAGAACGAACACTATCATATTCAGCAAAATACTGACTGGTGCCCGCATGTGAGAAAACCATCAGAGGATCAAAGCAAAACCACACAAAAAAATAAACAGTGTAGGCTCAGCGCCTGTGGCTCAAGCGGCTAAGGCGCCAGCCACATACACCTAAGGTGGCGGATTTGAATCCCCAGCCCGGGCCCGCCAAACAACAATGATGGCTGCAACCAAAAAATGGCCAGGCA